GCACAGATTCAGAAATGGGGTTTTAAGGCAACAGAAGACAGCCTAGAAAGAGGCCAGGTATTTACTGCTGGTGCCAAAAAGCTAAATATACATCCATTATCTGTAACTGCCTATCCTATGGGGGGTCCCAGCTGACACTGGTCACCAGACAACCACAGGGTTGACACATAGGCTGCATTCGACAAGGCTCTCCTCAAAGTTGTAGCCTACATAATACCTGGCAGAGGTGTGGACTAGAGTCACATAACTTAGACACACAAACAAGTCAAAAATGCCATTCCTCAACTTGACTAAATCAAAAAAGTCTTGCAACTCGACTTTAACAACAATGACAGTTGGACTTGAGCCATTTGGCTCAGTATTCTTACCATCCCTCAAGCCCAAAGAATATAAAGTATGTTAAGTTTGTCAGTGTCATGTACAACATTGAAGTATTCTATTTACTATTTTACAGCGTTTACATTTACATTATTCGACAAGCAAAGACAAGACAGGAACTTACAGAACTCATTTTGTTGTGGTACTGGTTAATAATGTTACATGCTATAAAAGTGCAATGTCAGCACTGCTCTTTTCTGATTAAGTTCAGTTGCACTTTTTTTAAAAAATGGCATTACATTTGCATTGCACATTATGAGTCTTGAGTTAGTGCTTATCAGTCTTGACTTGGGATCTGACAAGAAATTTGCCTGTCTTGACTTGGAACATGACTCTGGACTTCAGTGCAAAGACTTGTGACTTACTTGTGACTAGTAAAATAATTATGTTGTCCCACCTCTGGTACCTGGTACTGTTTTTTGGTACCACCTCGGTCCAAATGAGCAGAGCTGACCTTCGAAGGTGGAATGAAAACACTGCAGGCCACTGACTTGTCAATAAGAATTGAACTTACGCAAAACAGGACATCCTGCACAAACAAAATAAAGAGAACAAAAACGAGATAAGGACCTGGTACCAAAAGAGAGTTGAGTAGAGTCAAGTGGAACCATGCAGTGGAAATGAGGCTTTAGAGACACCCATCCACTCGTGCTCACATGCACACCTATGGTCAATTTAGATTTCATAACCTGCATGTCTTTGGACTGTAGGGAGGAGCCAGAAGATCTGGATAAAACCCACACTGACACAGGGAGAAAAGTTGCACACGCTAATTTAGACCAGTGATACTTAACTTGCGGCCCACGGGCCAAATCTGGAGGTTCCAGAGCTTAATAATCCAGAGCTGAAAAGTGCCAGTGGAGGATTTCCTGGACCCCCCTACAGAGGTCTGTGCTGATTATTTATATGTTAATTATCTTTATTTATTAGCTGGCCCCAGGCCTTCTGTCATTTTGCAAAAGTGGCCCCCGGGGTTAGCAAGCTGAGTATCCCTGTATTAGACCCTTGTCAAAAACTGTTCGGTTGATTCAACAGTGTAGTTGAGTTCGACATTGTCAACTTCTTCAAAGTGCACAAGCCATACAATTTTCCAAATTATTAATGGTTCACCCCTCACATGGATTACATTGCCCTAATCAACATCCAGGTTCAGCATAAAGTATTTAAACATTTTGGAGCATCACATCTTTGCTGTGTGTTTGTTCAATGGTCCGTTTAATGTCAGTGTTAGACTGTGATTTAAATGTCTGTATATAGTGTACATTAAATGAATAAAGCTCTTTATGCTGTACAGCTGGGGACCATTTTTATGCCTCCATGCTGAGGATAGCTGTGGCTGTTCTTGGGTTGCCCGTCCGTCCATTTGTTCCATTCTTGTAAACACAATGGCCTCTAGTTTCGCAGACGGGCGAGACGGTAGGTACTGGGTGTGGCCAGGCGGATTTTGCAAGTTTGGCGCACCGTGCGCGCTGGCGCAGCTACTCGTCTGTCCCACCTCCGTCCCTTCTACCTGCGCAAGTCGGAAAGAGGGAGGAGAGAAGGCGTGGAGTGGGTTTTACACACATCACACCAATCAAATGAGCCCCTCTCCTCGTCCTTAAATGCGTCATGCAAAGGCGTAATGAGAGTTTACTCAATTCGCCATGGCAGAAGAGAGCAGCAGCGTCAGATGGCCAAACTTCTCCCAGGAGGAAACTGATGTTTTGGTCCGGGAGGTCCAAGCTCGCAGTGTCCGAATATACGGAACTGAGAGCAGACCTCCACAGGCTGATGATGCAAAGGTAGCCTGGGAGGAGGTCACCACAATTGTAAATCAATGTTGCGTTTCTCTTGTGCACATGCGCTCTCTCTTTCTCTCTTGCAGTCTCACTCTGTTTCTTTTCTTTTGACTTTTCTAAGATGACAGATGCTGAATATATACTCCCTATCTGATGCTGTGGCTGTTTGTGGTTGGCTGAGAGGGATGTGAACTCATTAGTTTGCAGCTGTGTTAATCAAATTAGGTTGGGTTTCCATTACGCGTGCCAAACGGTGCCAATCCCCTTTGATCTGACATCAGATGTGAGGGGACAGTCGATACAGAGATACATTTATGTGCTGATTGCAGATAGTTGCATTAAATAGTGGTTTTTGTGGGTATTTATTGGATCGTTAATGTACCTGATATTCTGGAAACCTGCCTGTGAGGTTTTGGTGATGTGTGCGCACTGTCCGCCGGTCAGCCAAACTTCGGCTTACACTGGCTGTGCTCCGCCTGCGCTGACAGTAGAACTGGTTTCAGCTGGCGAGCTTTTAGCGCACCTTTGGCGAAGCCTTTTTGCACGAAACTGTCACTGCGCCAAGCTGGATCTGTTGACACCTCCCCCTGCTGTGCCGCCACACCCATCTCAGTGCACCTCGGTCTGCCAAACTACTAAACTGAGCGCACCTCGGGTTGCGCTGCTCGAAACTAGCTCTGCACGGGGTTCACCACCCTGCGCCACCCTGCACTGCGCCGGGAACCTAGAGCTCAGAGATACATTTATGTGCTGATTACAGATAGTTGCATTGAACAGAGTTTTTTGTGGCTATTTATTGCATTGTTAATGTGCCTGACATTCTGGAAACCTGCCTGTGAGGTTTTTGTGACGTGTGCGCACTGTCCGCCGGTCAGCCAAACTTCCACTTATACCAGCTGTGCTCCGCCTGTGCTGACAGTAGACCTGGTTTCAGCTGGCGAGCTTTTAGCACACCTTCGGCGAAGCCTTTTGGCAGGAAACTGTCACTGCGCCAAGCTAGATCTGTCGACACCTCCCCCTGCTGCGCCACCACACCCATCTCACCTTGGTCTGCCAAACAACCAAACTGAGCGCGCCTCGGGTTGCGCTGCTCGAAACTAGCTCTGCGCGGGGTTCACCACCCTGTGCCGTGCCGGGAAACTAGAGGCCAATATCTCAAAAACCCCTTGAGGAAATTTAAAAAATTGACACAAGTGACCACTTGGACTTGAGGATGAACTGACTAGATTTTAGGGGTCATAGGTCAGCGTTCAAGGTCATTGTGACCTCATCTGTCTCATTCTTGTGAATGCACTATTTGATTGATTTGCTTTGATTTTTTACTTTGTGTCATGCACACTTACATGTGCCCAGCCCTCATGGGTTTACAAGACACCATTACAATGATGTTGCAGTTATTTCACTACTCAGTATCTCAAGAAGGCCTTAAGGGATTTTTTTTCTTCAAATTCTGCACAAATGTTTCCCCAGACTCAAGGATGAACTGATTAGATTTTAGTGGGAAAAGGTCAGAAGTCAAGGTCAGCATGACCTTGCATCTGTCTCGTTCTTGTGAATGCAACCTCTCAAGAACATCTTGAGAGAATTTCCAAAATTTGAGTCAAGGATGACTTGATAAGAATTTGGTCAAAGGTCAAGGTCACAATGACCTTGTCCGTCGCATTCTTGTAACCGTGGTATCTCTAGAACACCAGGAGGAAATATCCTCAAATTTGGCACAAATGTCCACTTGGACTCAAGAATGAACTGATTACAATTTGGTGGTCAAAGGTTAAAGGTCAAGGTTAGTGTTACCTCACAAAGCATATTTTGGGTCATAATTCAATAATTGTTACACTTATAATGCCAAAATTTTGTACAAATGTCTAATATGATAGAATGATAAAGTGATGACATTTTATATCAAAAATTTCAAAGGTCAGCTTCACTGTGACATCATAATGTTCTGCAAAAACAGTGTTTATGGCCATTACTCAATGCCATATCTCAGAATTTGGTCAGATACTGAATTGGTGACTCTAATCTTGGGTGTCCACCCAGAAACTGTGCTGATTATACAGATCTTCTGTGCTGCTGGGGAGAAGATGTGTGTGAAGCATCAGTGTTTCCACAGACATGGATGTAAACTTCAACTGCAACTTGAAGGGTTTGTGAATTAATTGAAGGAATTAAAGAGGGAAGCTGAGTTTGCACAATCCAACAAGTCCACCACCTGTGGAAAATTTTGCAAAGGAGCAAAATGACACAAGCGACAGCCATTCCACTTTTCTATATTGTGACGTAATAAATGACATGGTGGGGCACATTAATCAGAGTATGTATGGCTGCACGTAAATGGGGATATTAGTAGAATATTCATTTTTATTATCCATGTAAACTGTTAAGTAGGAATATAGTCTTTTTTAGTATAAGGGCAAAAAATGAAATATTTGTGCATGTAAACGTCATTGCACTGTAGTTATCAATGTTGCAGGATGTGTGATATGATTTGATCTCTGGTTATGTGTTTTCATTGTGGCTGCTGTTACACATGTGAGGAGAATGTGAAAAGTTCATATGTTACTCGCAAATCCTATCAATCATCATGGGCGACATTATTAATGTAAAGGTTAACAGCCAGGATAAAAGACAGAGTGAAGTGTTTGCCTTGATTTAAAAGATTCATAATACACATCCCACATGATGCTGTCTATACCTCTGACAAGTGTAGTAACCAAACTGTCTGTTTTTCTTTCTTCTTTTCTGTGTGTGTGTGTGTGTGTGTGTGTGCGCGTGTGTGTGTGTGTGTGTGTGTGTGTGTGTGTGTGTGTGTGTGTGTGTGTGTGTGTGTGTGTGTGCGCGCAGGCAGCCCTGGTACTATGGCTGGGGCTTCAACCTGCCACGGGGTCAGGCTCTGCTGGACAAGTGGAACCAGATCCCCGACAACACAGACATCCTGGTCACACACTGCCCCCCACTGGGTAAGACATACATTACAGCACACACACACAGACGCACGCACACATACACACATGCACACACACACACACACACACACGCTCCAACATATATCAAAGGTGCACATACTGTATATATGTGTAGATCACTGAACTGTGAAAGGAAATTATAATGCAGTGATCATTTACTTCAGTCATGGCTGAACTCCAACTGAGAAAAACCGTTGTTTGTCATAAAATCAGATCATACTCTCTCTAAATATGAATACATAGGCCACTGCAACTCATGGAGAAAGAAAGAGAGATGGGGAAGCAGGTGGAGGTAGAGATAGTGTTACAGTAATATGGATAGTAATATCAAGGTAAATGCAAGGTAAATGCAAGATGCAAGCCCGTAGTAATTTGATGGTTAAGTTCAAATTCAAATGTCCACTTCTTATTTGCCCTACAGATATTGTATTCTTTAATAATAGCCTAATCTGATAATTGGTTTCCAGTAATTTACAATCCTATATTAAATTGTTTCTTTTCACCACTACAACCTTCCTGTAACTTCCATCTGTGCTGGTTCACACCCGGTCTTGACCTCAGTTAATCCAGCAGAACACATAATTAACCTCTGTTACTGTAACATGTCTTCTACTATGATTTGCAAGATCCTCCCTTAAATGCATATGCAACGAGAATGAATATGCACCTGAACAAATGAAACACAATCTGAGACTCCTGCCTGCTGCATCTGTGTGATTAATACACCGCATGTGTTCGGGGCAGAATGCGTCACATCTGTGCCTGAAAAACATGCCCAAAAGCTGCAGTAAATCTGGCCCTCAGCTCCCTTTATTTATTTATTTAGTCACATGCGCATATATTGAGTCTGTAAATACTGGCATTAACCTGTAAAGTGCCCACCATGTTTTGTATTTTTTTAGTAAATAGTAAATAGTAAATAAGTAATAAGTATGCTCATCCTAAATACAAGCAACGATAACCAAATTTTATTTCAAACCGATATTATACCAATATTGACCGTAACAATTAAAATTCAATGAAAATAAAAATAAACATTGTACAGTATTTATTGTTGCTTTCATAAAATGTAGCCTGTTTCAAAATTAAAACCCCCTCTACTGAAAATTGGTAAGAGGTTTATTTTACTTTACTTTAGCACCTTTCTAGTCATAGTCAAAGCGCTTTTTACACTACGAGTCACATTCACCCATTCACACACACATTCATACACTGGTGGCCGAGGCTACCATACAAGGTGCCACCTTCTACTCAGTTTTTAACACACTCACACACCGGTGGAAGCATCAATTTGGGGTTCAGCATCTTGCTCAAGGATAGTGACATGCAGATTGGAGGAGCTGGAGATTGAACCGCTGACCTTTCTGATCGGTGGATGACCTGTTCTACCTCTGAGCCACAGCCTTCGCAGTGTAGTTGCTCCAGTTATAGCTTTACCTACTTATCCTCCATGGCTGCAGAAGACTCATCTTTGATGTGGTGTATTTCCTAGAGCTTTACACTGTTGTGCTGTGGTAGTCAATGTTTCAGGAGGTTTGAGGGTGTGTTTTTGGCAGTGTAAAGAGTCTTAGTACCACTACCTGGAGCAACATTGTTGTCATCTTCCCTCGGGAGGGAAAATGTAATGGGAGTAATGGGAATAGGAATATATTCACCATCTTTCAAACTAGCTTGCTGCTTACTGATGTGCATGCACGATAATCACGAAAATAATCCACTGACGTGGTTGATTGTTGAATTTCAAATCCGTAGGAGGCTGACAACAAAACTAAGATTGTAATGACATATTTGTTTTGGGGGTAACTGTAGTAGTATTACTGAAATTAAATTAGAAAGTTACTGCCCAACACTGCTAACTCTTCTACCCAAGAGGTTGCTAGCATCAGTGAAGGATCCACCTGTGACAAAGAGGATGAAAATGCATATGTAGCCCCCATCACTGACAAAGTCTATATGTATGCCTTAATGTGAGTAAAGCAAATAAGGGGAGGACCCATTTAGCAGCCGTTTTCAAGGGCCCAGGAGTTTCTGTAGATGGGCCTGGGGATGACAGGGAGATGATGACAAGCTAAGGTTCCCAGCTGGACTTTAACTGGTGAAATTGTTGTTACCATGTTCCAGAGGACTTGACGTCAGTGGTCCTGGAAGTATGTGAATAAACACGTACATATTCATACCACAGGTACCTGTGCACATCTCTCTACAGCTTTTACACACCACGAGCACGCTCTCTGTGAATGCTTTATTTTCCTTCTCGAATGAAAGAGAGCAGAGGAAGTGGTGCTGATGAATCACTGTCGTATTGAGTGGATGAATAAAGGGTGAAGGTAATCAAAGCTGTGACTCACAGTCCAGTCAGCTCATCCTGCTTGGCCTGAAAACACACTTTATCTTTAGAGGAGATCATTAGCTCTCTTACTGATCACCTTTCAGCCTCCATGCACTTTTCGTCCACACAAACACAGCAAGAGTTTGAACAAACACAGACGCCGGCTCACAAGCTAACTGACATCCTGTACGCATGTCTCTGTCTCACACAAAGAAACACATGCAGACGCTTGTACACACACACACCCACACACACACACACACACACACACACACACACACACACACACACACACTCCTCTCCCTCTCTCTCTCTCTCTCTCTCTCTCTCTCTCTGTCTGACTCTCACTCTAACACACACACTTTCACACCTCATCTCCCGCTGCAGCTGTGGTGCTCAGACGAGTGTGTGTGATTGATTTCTGTGCCTGCGTCTCGGCTGCGAACACGGCCGTTTATTTTCCATTCAGCTTAGCGAAGTGTCTCCAGCTATCTGCTCGTAAGCCACCGGCATATGGAGCAGCTACAGCAGGCTACTAATGCATGAGACACACACACACACACACACACACACACACACACACACACACACACTCAGAGCAAGACTGGAGGGAATGGCATGAGAAAGAAAGAAGCATAAAGAAAAAAGGGGATGGAGGACAAAAGTGTGGACGATTAAGTGGATTCTTTAAAGTGCAAGAGGTCAAGAAAAGACATCCTTTTTTGAAATATTTTTTAAAAGAGTGAGAAAAGAATGATGGCCAAGAAGGTGACGGAAAACGGAGTGTGAACGAGACGTTGTTTCGCACTGCAGCAAAAGCTCCCGTCTTTTATGAGGCGCGATAAAGCGGCAGATCGGGAGCTAGAGAGGAAAAATATGGCCTCTTTATCTGGCTGTGAGGAACAAGTTAACAGCAGAGAGAGAGAAAGAAAGTGAGACAAAAAGAGGAAAACAGGCGCAGTGCCCAAAGCAGCAGCTGCTTTGAAACAAGCGGCACATTAGAGCAAAATACCCCGAGACACAAAGAGCCCTCGTAACTTCTCACTTCACTTCCACTGTCTCCCAAGGCTTGTAAAGAATACACTTACAGTTTTAAGGCATTTTATACCTAAACTGATACTAAAAGTGTGTTTTTTACAGGTAGATACATTTAGAGGACAAAGGAGTCAGTCTGTATTACTTTACCGGAATGACTGATTCACTGCCAGCTGAGAACATGGAAGTTTTTATGTCTGTGTTGAGTGTGAGAGGGTCCATTAACTTTGCCTTGAGTGAGATTTTTAGCACTTTGTTTGGTAGTAAAAAATAAATAAAAATGTATAAAGAATTTTAAAATCATCCCAAGATGGTCTTTTCTTTTGCCCTGCTGAGGACTTGCTGAAAGCTACCAAGCCATGAGACTTGCTATTTCTCACTTGTCACAGTTCAACACCTGCAAGCATATGGCCACAAACCTTTGTATGTAAAGTTTTGGACTGGGGCTAGGCAGCTAATTCAGACTTGTTGAACTACTGTTCAGAATTGGAAAAATTTGACCTGTAATGATCCATCCATATTGAAACTACAGTGATTTAGGGCTGTGACTCGAGTTGCAAAAATGTTGGAGTAAGGACTTGACTTTAACTCATCTCCATTAAGACTTTGCTTACATGAAAATTAAAGACTTGACTTGAGGCTTAAGGGCAAACAGCTGATGAAGTATGTACCTTTCACTAAAATAGAGACACTTCTCTTGGGTTTTGCTCCTAAAATCATTAACCTTGACTTGGACTTGTCCTTAAAAAAATGACACTTGGCTTGCCCCTAAAATTATGAGACATGGTTTGGACTTACTGACTTGAGACTTGGCCTGGGCACTTAAAGACCGGACACTGACTTGCCTCTTAAATCATGAGCTTTAAGTTGGACATGCCCTAAAGAGTAGAGACTTGACTTGCCCCTAAATTTCTGAGACTTGAGTTGGACTTGCTCTCAAAAACTAGAAACTTGACACTTCCCTAAAATCACAAAATTTAAGTTGGACTTATCCTTAAAGACTTAAGACATGATTGAGACTTGAAACAATTTTCTGGTGTTTTATTAAAAATTAGAAGATAAAAAAAATAAAACAAACAATAACTTGTTAAATTTGTCCAGACCCGTTTCTTTCCTCACTTGGTAATTTGTTCTTTGTTCACTTTACTTCTCTCCTTTCCTTGTGTTTACTTTCTTATTCCTGTCTGAGCAGAGCGACAGAAGGCAGGGAAGATGGAGGCACGAGCTCCTCACTCATTTTATTTCTCCGACTTGATGCTTTTATTGACTCAGCATCAGCAGCATCCCTCCTCACAGAGCAGCCACTAAATCATATACACTCCATGCTTCATCCTTGTCACACACACTGTGAAGTCTGCATCTGTGTGTGGCTGTGATTGATCTTTATTTTCTATGGCTGCTTTCTAAGAGTCTTTTTTTTTTGTGCTGCGATGTGCAGTTTGCCATTAGACAAGAAGTCTGAAATGGAGAGCTGCGTTCTAAAATGTGATGGATTGTCTTTTGAAGGGAGATGAAATTTATAACCTTGGAGACACATTCAGCCACGGAAATGCAGAAAATCAACCCAACTATCATCACACACAGTTAAATGAAATACTGAAATGATCCGCATAGGATCATTACTGCCAGTTTATATCAAAACATAAGGGTTAAACGGGACATTGTTTTGTTTCCATTAAATAACAGCCAAATATGACTGATAAAAAATAGATTTAGAAACTATATAATTCATTCAAATAAACACAAGAAGTTTGTGCTCTAGAGAAAGGATCAACACTCAGTGAATAACCTCCTAAGCCCTATAATAAGCTATTATGGCAAGCCTTAACTACAGTATACAGACCAGTGAGCAGTGATAACTAACATGTCATTGGGGCCATCAGATGGGAACCTAAAAAAGAAACACAACATGCTTTCCAAAATAATGGACCATAGTTTGAATAAATTAGTTTTTTTTTTTTGTACATTTTAGGGGATTAATGTAAACAGTTTTATTATAAATTTGAATGGCAAAGGTGTGGACTGGAGTCACATGACTTGACAAAATCAAAAAAAGACTTGCAACTTGACTTGCACTTTTACACCAATGACTTGTGATTTCACTTGGACTTTTCATATTTCCCCCAAGCCCAAAGATTGTAAAGAATGTCATGGTCAGAGATGCTGTATACAACATCAAAGAATTCTATTTACTTATTTACAAAATTGATATTTACATTATACAAGAAGACAGGATAGATTTTACTGTATGAGTGTGCAAGGTCAGCACAACTTCTTTTTTTAATTAAGTTTGGTTGTACTTGTTTTAACAAACTTGATAACAAATAAATACAAATTTTAAAAAGCAATCTTTTTTTTACATTTCAAATGTTTTTTAAATTGTTCTTAAATTGACATTACATTGCTGAAGAGTACATAATGACTTTTTTAGGACTTGAAAATCAAATGTTTAGGACTTTTAACATGACTCAGGACTTGCCCGTCTTGACTCTGGATTTGACTCAGAACTAGTTAGGCCTGACGTCGGACTTGACTTGGAACTTACCCATCTTAGATTGAGACTTTATTTGGGACTTTTCTGTTTTGACTTGGAACTTGACACGTGACTTGCTTATTTTGATTTGGGACTTGACTTGGGACTTGACACGTGACTTGCTTATTTTGATTTGGGACTTGACTTGGGACTTGACACGCGACCTGCTTATTTTGATTTGAGACTTGACTGGAGACTTGCTTGTCTTGACTCGGGACCTTATTGCCTGTCTCGACTTGGAACTTGACTCAGCACTTGCCAGTCTTGACTTGGAACTTGATTCAGAAGTTGCTTGTCTAACTCGAGACTTGACTCAGGACTTGCCTGTCTTGACTCGGGACCTGCCTGCCTTGACTTGGGACTTGCCTGTTTTGATTTGGGACTTGACTCTGGACTTGCCTGTCTTAACCTGGGAATTGACTCGGCACTTGCTAGTCTTGACTTGGGACTTGACCCAGAACTTACCTTTCTTGACTTGGGATTTGACTCAGGACTTGTCAGTCTTGACTTGGGACTTGACTCGGGACTTGCTTGTCTTGAATTGGGACTTGAATGAGAACTTGCCTGTCTTGGCTTGAGACTTGACCCAGGACTTGCCTGTCTTGACTCGGGACTACAGTGCAAAGACTTGCGACTTATCCGTGACTTGTGTAACAGTGACTTGGTCGCACCTCAGTTGAATGTTAAGATTACATTGTGGAATGAGTTTACAGTAGTTACATGTTTCCTGTAATACACTGGAGCCACGGCACATGGTTGATAGCATTGTTGTGTTCCTCACTGCCTCCCCACCTCTTCGCAGCAGCCTTAACTGACTACATCGGAGCCAATACTGATACTGTCCATCTCCACATTATAGTAGCAAACATAGAATGTCACGAAGCAGACAGTATTAGACAGTGGAAAAGTTTAGCCCATCTACCATTTCACCACTTCATTATTTCATTTTGGGCTAAAGCTCTTCATACTGTATGTGACCTGGTGCTATTAGCTGGCTCTGTGAGAAGAAGTGTGTTTAGTGTGAGCTTAAGGTGTGTTTGATTTGCTTGTCACTGTGTGCAGGTTTCCTGGACTGGGTCCCAAAGAAGATGCAGCGTGTTGGGTGCATGGAGCTGCTCAACACAGTCCAGAGGAGAGTCCAGCCCAAATTACATGTGTTCGGACACATTCACGAAGGTACGTCCATGTGCTAATTAAACACTTAAAAGTACACACACATACACAAGGGCAGTTGAAATGAATCGTCAACTATATATTAAATAGAAAAAAAGTATACAAATTGAATGGCTAAATTACTATTCAAATGTACATTTAAAAAAAAAAATGTCATAAATGCATAACCTAACGTTAGCATATCTAAGCCCAGTCACCAGAGAAAAATGCTGACATTGTATGTTTCTGCCACGGATACGTTATATTTGTACGTTTCATAAGTATCGTGCCAGTGTTTCCAAAGTCACCTAGTAGCTGAATGCATATGAGCTGACTTTGTCATTGGGGGATGGATGGCGTGTTACCTAAGCGAGACACCTGCCAAGCTGCAGACCCCTGTTCAACTAGCCTGGAAATCCAGACCCAAATCTAGAAAGATTTAGGGTCTGGCTATGAGTAATGCAAATGGCCCAACTTGAGGGGCGGCACCAAGCATGCATTTGAAAATATCACTGCACGCAATTGGATAACACTACGACCAATCAGAACAATACACAGGGTTATGTATCCAGAGCGCTACCAGCGAAGCTAACTGGTAGATTAGACTCTTGCCATATCCGGTCGGCAAAACAGCAAAAACGTCCTTCTTGCAAAGGAAAGATTTGAGTGCCATCTTCTGTTCCTCTTTTAGAGAAAAAGCCAAGTCTAACTTGTTCATTGTAGCTGCCAAAGCCGTTTCAAACAACTGGTGTTCTTCTGTATCCATCTTGCAATGTTTACTAACTGATTCCGGACTTCGTCGTTGCTGCGGTGTTGTCATCTGTTTAGCTCGCCTCTGGCCCGCCTATATCAGATACACCGATGTGATTGGTGCAGCTTGGCTCCAAGGGCATGGGTAATGAGCATCATTACTGATTGCCAGAGTGACTCGCTGAGCAAATTCAAATTGTGCTCTAGCGAGAACTCTGGATTTCCAGGGTACTGTTCATCACCAAGAAACAACAAAACTGGTTGTTTTTATGCAAATCAATGCTGCGTCTGCAAATGCCCTCTAGTGGACAGAAGATACAACAACCACACACTGACAGTGGAATTGGCAACACTTACACCTGTGCATAGAGAGTATGGGTGCATAGTAAGCATACACAATATTGGATTTTTTGCTGATATCCAATATGCCGATATGTAACAACTCATTTGTCTGATAACCAATATCAGTATGGATATAACCATTTTTTCCCTACCTAATTTTAGTGATCATCAAGTCTCTTCTGTAGTGGAATAAACATCATATTATGCATGCATACTCTTATGTGATGGACTACCAGCAGATGGAGAAATGAAATCGAATGCTTTTCAATGTAAGTAATAATTATTCATTGTGCAAGTTAAGATAAAGCATGTTTGCAGATTCTGATAGTTCATTTTAAACACGATATAGGCAGATGCCAATGAATGAATGCTGATATTATCGTACATCCCCAGTGCGTAGTACTGTTAATATCAATAATTGGCTAAATTTGAGCATTAAAAGATTGAAAATAATTCAAATATTAAAAAAAAGTAAGGAATGAAATTCAGATGGGACTGTAGGGGAAGACTGACAGCTCTAATACACACATAATACTGCCATTACAACAGAGGCTCATGATAATCCACAGTCATTCAAAGCATGTGGATTTCCAAATGTTAGTATACATACGCAATGTTTTTGACACTGTATATCACAGTAGTTCATGGGCCGCATACTATCCTATTGGTCCAGGTGGCCCTGGACCAATAAAACCATTGCATAATATCCTATAAATAACAGACACCTCCATATTTTTCCCTTTTTTTTTGTTTAAATAAGTGATGAAGTGATGACTTTTTATATGCAAAAAAGTCAAAGGTCAACTTCACTGTGACATTATAATGTCCTACAAAAACACTCTCTGGCCATTATTCTACATCATAATTTTAACCAAAGGGAAGACATTTGGTCAGATATTGAATTGTTGACAATAATCTTATGTGCCCACCTTGAAACTGTGCTGATTGTGTAACTCCTCTGTGCTGTTGGGGGAAAGATGTATGTGAAGCATCCACATTTCACAGACATGGATGTAAACTGTAAGCGCAAAATGACTCGTGCGGATGCAAACCATCGCAAGGTGGTTCTAGTTTTATTTCCAGTTTATGCATTTTCAGACTCACATAAATCCTAATGATCTGAATTCATGGGATGCAATATAAAATTTAGCATCAAACTAAAGACGGACCTCTACCTTATCACATTCTGAAGGTGGCAGTTAGTTTACACACATTTCCACCAGCCGCTACATCAGTGTGTCTACATTTTTCTCACATATCCTAACACCTTAACATTTATCATATAAATCAGCCAACCACATGAAGATATAGCACAAATAGACCAAAACCATGTCGTTTAGATTATAGTTTTATATTCCCCTTAAACTGAATATTTTTAAGTAATTAAATTGACTGAGAAAATTCAATTCCACGTAACCTTAGAGAATATGGAGATACTGTTTCCCGGAAGAAAATGATTTAATTGTATATTAGAGAACAGCTGTGCTGCCTCATCCCTATCAGCATTTCATCCAGGCCAGCCAGGGCAGAGAGGCCGTCTCCCTGGACTGAGGATTGCTTTTTCGGGGTTATCAGGTCACCGCGGAGCCCCTGGAGCTGCGGCCCCCCATCAGAGAGAACCAGATTAGAAACTAGATCAGATTTTATAAAAGGAAAAATAGGCTGAGAGCTGCTCTCTTCATTAATGTGAGGACTCTGGGAGAAAATTTTTGTATTCATGTATTCCAAATCTGAAAGGACCAACACAGACATCTGTTCGCTTCCAAGAGATGGCGAAAGTGGCACCTACACTTAAAAAATCACTGATAGTGCAAAGTACTTTCTGAGAGATGGTAGTTAACTTATGCTTGACAAAATGGTAACACTTTTACATCTGCCATTTGGAAGAAACGTTGATCCAAAGTGCCTTTGAAGCAGAGATTTTTTAACTGTAGTGGTGTTAGTGTCACACTCTCATGCATACAGTACATTTGCTCACACTGGATTCTCGCCATTTTAGAAATGATGAAGAAATGCTTTGATACTAAGCGCTTATAACTCTGGTGATTCTCGCTTGCATGTCTTCATTATGATTCCCATCAGATGCATCACACTTATTGTTAGTCCTGGGGTCTACTGTGATAAACTGTACTTCCTCTGATTTAACTGTATCATTCAGTCATATATTGGTGAATATTTACTGAGGATTTGCATCCCTTTTAGGGAGACTGTATATCAATAGTAAGCAGTAAAAAGCTGTTGAAATTCTGTATTTATTAAAAGGTTGCATCAAAGTTTTGCACTTTTTTATTTTATTTTATTATATTTCAAAAACTGAGAGCAGGGTCTTAAATTAACACCTGTGAAATGATCAGGCCATTCACCACTTTGGCAGACATGAAAACTGGACAGATGTGTCCCATTTGGAGAGACTACATATCAGTATTAAAGCAGTAAAAAGGCACTAAAATTTTGTAATTATTAAAGGGTTCGATGAAAGATTTGCTCTTTTTAAACTTTATTTCATTTTGTTTTGAAGTCTGAGAGCAGGTCTGAAATTAGGTCCTGCCATATGTGGGTAATTTATTGGCAGCGGTGTGTAAAATTGTCAGGCCATTCACCATTTTGGTGGACATGGAAAACACACTTTTGAGTATTTATAATGATGAAGCATCAGAGTTGCTGTTTGTCCTGAGGTCCACTGTGATTGGCAGTACTTTTTCTGATTTAACTATATCATTCAGTCATATGTTTGTAAGTATTTATTAGGATTTGCATACCTTTTGGGGAGAATAAATTTTAGTAGTGAGCAATAAAATAATTCAGTGTTTATTAAAGAGTCACATTAAAGTTAAGTTTCTTTTTTTATTATATATCAAAATCTGAGAACAGGATCTGAAATTAGCTTCTGCCAATACATTTTTGGCAGTGGTGTGTAAAATTGTGATTATTATTATTAATTGTGAATTAAATGATGTCTAAGTGACTGAAATGTTATTCTTCCATTTAGCACATAGATTTTGATAGTGGCACATACAATATCTGGGTGGCAGGAAGTGAAACAAGTGAATATCAGATTTGGTCTTAGAGAACAAATCAGAACAAAATCAAACAGACTCAAAAATGTTCAACCTCTGCACACCTATATGACAGGTGAAGAGAGACATTCCCTATCGTATGGTTTGGAAACATGGCTTATTTAAAAACGTCATCTCTCCCACTGCTCCCCAGGTTATGGCATGATGACAGACGGCACCACCACATTCGTCAACGCCTCAGCCTGCACTGTCAACTTCCTGCCCATGAACGCTCCAATTGTCTTCGACCTTCCAAATCCCAGGACCACATGACTAGAGGAAGCTCGCCCCCAGTCACCTGCCGCCAGTCAAGAGAAAGGAGCCAGGAGAGGTAGGTGAGGTCGGTGGGCAGAGCAGAGCACATTCTGTAAATATAAGGCAGCCGTGTGTTTAACGCAACACATATGCTACATGCCTGGAGACGGAGCAGACTCGGTGAGGGACGCTCCCTAACGCTATTAATGTTATTCTATGTGCCATCATTTCTTCATCTCAACACTGAGTCTAAAAGCAGAGAAATGGACGAGCAAAGAGACGCTTTTAGATGCAAACAACGGATATTTCTTTGTCCTCTTTTACTGCACTGACAATCTGATGTGGCTCTCAGACAGACAAAAAAGACACCCCGACGTCACTGTTGGCATTTTTCACTTCATTTAAATGAACTGTAAACATTTGGACTCAAAGTGAAGCAACCCAACGCCTCGTCAACATGAGAGTTTTGGTTAAAGCACAACTCAACAGCAGAACATTTGCCTGGGGGATTGTAACACAACTTTCCTCCCTTCCCACTTTTAAACATTAATTTCCTCACTTCTCCCCCTCCATCTTCCGCCTGTTTCTCTCCTCTCCTCGGGCCTGCAGCATTATGGAGTGTGTTCTTTTTGCCAGCGTGTGTGTGTGTGTGTGTGTGTGTGAGATCAAAGTGAGTGTGTGAGGGCAGCAAGAGGTCTCTGCCAGGGGCTGTGTGAGTCGGGGTGTCAAACATGTTGACACCACTCCCCTGGGCCTCATTACAGCCCTCATAAGCCTCTTAACCGGGAGAGAGGAGGACACTGAGGAAACTGCGCGCAGCACTTCCTTCCATGCAGCTCCCCTTTCACCTTTTCTCCTCTTTTTCATTTCTTCCTCCCTCTCCATCCTTCATGCTGTGAATGAGTAGCACAGCTTTTCTGCACTGACTGAAATTCCGAGCTTTAAGGACTTGGAAAAGACAGCAGGTAACACACGACGTAAAGGTGCTACTTCTGGACAGTCATTCTGAGCTGTGGTGATTGTTTCAAGGACCCTCCCTCATGTTGGGAGTGATGGGACATTTGATCCTTTATCAAGAGGAGTAAAGCTGTAACTACATGTACTGTAACTGGTCTATGTAAATGTTCTCTGTCAATGTAAAGAAAAAAAACTTGAAGATTTCTTGAAGATTTCCAAGTTGTTGCTATGCGTTTCAAAAAAAAAAACCTTGTTAATATTTGTGGTTGTTACATTTCCTTTGGTCTATTTCTTAGTAATGTAAATGCTTATTATGGTATTTCCTTCTCTGTGAAGCTGCTCGGCCCCATTTGGTGATTATTAACTCTTTCATGTCCCTTAGCAGTTTGTCTGTGTTTAAAAAAAAAAAAGAAAAAAAAGCCTTTCATTTTTTTCCTTTGCTCTATTTTCTGAATAAGGCCGTTCTCAGTGAGAGTCTGAATGTGCTTAGCATAACAAGACCACGTCACACTTTGATCTTCCTGCTCTCCGACATTATGTATGAACGTTCCCTGGGGCTGCAGTTTACTCCCACTTCACTCCGGCTTCCTCAGAACATCAGCATTCATTGTGCCAGCTGATGTCTTAATGTTTCCAAATAGGCAAAAGAGGAAAGAGCAGCAGAATTGCTCACCAAGAAAACCAGTGTGTGTGGATAATGGTGGGAGGTGCGAGCATGAACGTTGATGCCTGAGTGTCTGTGCGTATTATGTTATCGTTAATGTGGAGCAGTTTAAGTTTTAAGCCCTGAAATTGAGGACATTGTGTTTGATCCTCATGTCTTCAAGGTTTAGAGTTAGAATTAGGTTTAGAATAAAGATCGAGTTTAAGATGTGGTGTACCAGGTAGAGTATGGGAACTGCAGCTTAATAAAAAACAGGCATATAGGGACATGTATTACCCAGTTTAATAACACATGCATTTGGTGGTTAATTTACACATTTTAAAGTCCTTGAACACAGAAGATGCTGGTCTGACAGTTGAGGGTCTGATAACATGGTCACATGGTCTGATAACATGGACAATAAAACCATGTAAAAATGTTATAAATAAAATACAATAAAATACATGTAAATATGTTAGCCCAACTGCAATCATACTAAACTGAATTTCTCAAAGTCAGACTAACACACCAAGATATTGTGATTGGGAGTCGAATTCCTCCTGCATGTATACAGTCAATTGGACCGAAACTGGCCTAAAAAAAGTACCCAGGTTGCCCAGGTTTGTCATTTTAGCAAACATAGCAGTCAAATAATAGTCATATGTGGCTAGCACAAAGGCGGTTTGCTAGTAAAGGCTAATGAAGATGAAACATATACATATCTTAACAATCCAATTGCCAGGGAAATGTAGGCATTATATGTTTCTTTTCCAGACTGGGAACAGCAATGTCTCAGTGGCAGATCAAATTTGAAATTCTAAAGTCGCTGTCAGGGCCAGATAAATGCACCAAGCTGTCCAGGAGCAAAAGTGAGCTGTGGGCCCGTTTCCCCACCCCTTTCCCATGTTAGTTTGTGATCATTTGTGATAATGTGATACATTTTTTGATTATTACTGCTTTCACAATCTATTTACACATAGAGATTTTTGATAAATAATCATCAGTAATGTGGATATAATGACTAAGTGGGTAAAGGCAAATAATAGAATAGGTAGAACAGTCTGGTAAATTCAGACAATTATATCATTTTACTGTAATGCAGCCTTTAAGGCAAGGAAAAGACAACAATGGATATTACAGTGTTGAAAATCCTAGGAAATATCTAGTCTCATTTCATGATATTGATGTAATAACAAGCTATTAAAAGTGGTCTGACACAGGGCCTTTGCCTAGGTCCAGATCTTGAAATCCACTCACTCACCCGAGGTGACTGATTCATCTGGAATCATGACATGAAATAGCAATTTTTTGGTAAAAAAGCACTCGATCCACTGAGCACTGTGGGATTCTGATGATCAGCCAATCATTGTGCAGGCACAATATCTCATTACAGTCCTCTTCAAAGAAGCAGAATATAAGGCTTGAAGTGGACTTTCGATCAGGGTTAGCAGGAATAGATTGAATGTAGCCAGTGGAAGGCCCGTACAAGTGTATGTGTGTGTGTGTGTGTGTATGTGTGTGTGTGAGTGTATTTAAGAGTGTAAAGGAAAAAAAGTGCTCAGCCTCATCATTTAAAACACAGACTTAATTAATGTCCACGAAGGAAAATGTTCCAAGAGAGGAATAAAGGGAACTATTAAAAACCAAAAGATGGGAGGAACTTTCATCTGAGTTTCATGAAGAGCAGTCTGTTTGGTCCCACTCTCCACTTCCAGTCCTCATTTAGATGTCTCGCTTTGATGCTCCTCTGCTTCAGTAGCCGTGTTATGTGTTTCCTGTTTTCTCTGAGAAAAGAAAAAAAAAAAAAAAAAAAAAAAAGTGCCGTACTATTTCTTGATTTCTTTCTTGAGGCATGCTTAAAGGAGTTAATGACTTCTGCTACCCAGACAATCTGCATATGAAGAGTTTTGTTCCAAAATGAGATATCCACTGTTTGAAAAAAGGTACGCCTACACAGGCACAATGATTGACAGCTGAAACTTAAAAGCAGATCGCGGTGGTACTTTTTAAAGCGTCGTTATTAACTTATGTTTTTGGTAACGTTTGTACTGGCTGGATCCTCTACATTTCAACAAGACTGGACAGTTATGAACGTCAGGTCTTTTTTTAAACGGAGGTATAGCATTTTGGAATAAAAGTGTTCATATGGTATTGTATTTTGCCATCGCTGTTGGGGACATTTTTTTAAAGAAGTGTAAAACAAGAAAATGGAGACCCAACGGCTGCAAAATGTTACTGTGTTGCTCCTGGAGACAACTCTAAAAATGTAAAGTACCTCTCTTTCTTAAAGATTATGCTGGTTCTGAGAGATTATTCACCGATTGAATAAAACCTTATCTGTGACCGCTGGATCATGCTTCCTTACTTCCATCCTCGCTTTCCCTTTTGTCTCTCCCCTCTTTTATTTCTTGTTCTAGAGAGAAAAAAAATTAGAGGTGGTGAGGAAACTTTTCTCGTCCTGGTTCTTCCCTTTTGTTCCAATCAAAGGTATCTGTGTCTCGTATCAATTATAGAGCCCAAAGCAGCCAGTTAATTTCCAGTAGCTAAACCCTCGCCGCTCCATCTCCCATTTTGTTCCGCAGGTCTTCCACACCTCTGCACATTCTAATGAGAACCTTCGTTCAAATAATTACATTAGTAATCCTGGGGGAGACTGGGTAATTTATTCGCGGATGGCTTTTTACTTTGCCATTAATACAACTAGCTTTCATATACTCTTGTCTTCCTCCAGCTCTCTCCCTCCCCTCTTTTTTTCTCGCTCTGCCTCTCCAACCACAATGCTGAGCTCTTTTTCTCAGTTCTGATCATCCCTTTTCCATTTCCATCTGCTCGTCCCTCTCTTCGCTCCCTCAGATAATGATTCCCAGCTCTCTACATTTTTCTCCCCTCTCTGAGAGCTACTGTACATCTTGCTGCTGCAGCGTTTCCTTTGAATGAATGACAGACGTCCCCTCTATCTCCTTGTCATCCATCTCACTTCACACTTCCCATCGGAACAAAAGATGCGCCCAGCGCTTCCCGTCGTCTGCATCATTAAAAAGGCACTTTATTTGATTGGCTTTGGAACACAAATCAGTGTCAAATAGTCGGGCAGGAGACAGAGGGTGGAGAACTCTAGAATCATTTATCAATCTCTCCTTGTTCTTCTTTTCAGTTTTTGTTTTTCAGTCATCACATCTCAGGATGGATCTATTTGTCGTATTAGTGGCAGATCAAATTTGAAATTCTAAAGTCGCTGTCAGGGCCAGATAAATGCACCAAGCTGTCCAGGAGCAAAAGTGAGCTGTGGGCCCGTTTCCCCACCCCTTTCCCATGTTAGTTTGTGATCATTTGTGATAATGTGATACATTTTTTGATTATTACTGCTTTCACAATCTATTTACACATAGAGATTTTTGATAAATAATCATCAGTAATGTGGATATAATGACTAAGTGGGTAAAGGCAAATAATAGAATAGGTAGAACAGTCTGGTAAATTCAGACAATTATATCATTTTACTGTAATGCAGCCTTTGAGGCAAGGAAAAGACAACAATGGATATTACAGTGTTGAAAATCCTAGGAAATATCTAGTCTCATTTCATGATATTGATGTAATAACAAGCTATTAAAAGTGGTCTGACACAGGGCCTTTGCCTGGGTCCAGATCTTGAAATCCACTCACTCACCCGAGGTGACTGATTCATCTGGAATCATGACATGAAATAGCAATTTTTTGGTAAAAAAGCACTCGATCCACTGAGCACTGTGGGATTCTGATGATCAGCCAATCAGCACCATGGGCGGGACTAACGCTGTTGCCAAGCTGTTGTCTGCTGTGCTCCAGAACCAATGGAGTAATAACAATAGAGTGCAACTGCTACTGAGGTTGTTCTAAATCAGCGTCTTCTCAATATTGTCCGTCTAAGCATGTACATTGTCATGGCTACACATGAGTGTGGCCTTAAAATTGCATTACTTTAGACAAATATGTGGGTCTCTAGTGATTGGTTAGGGAAAATCACATCCCCCTCCTCCATGGAAATTGGTTATAGTGGATGCAATGTCAGACTGAAGATGGAAATGGAGTGTAACAACTTGACGATTCTGTCTGATATCAGACAAACAGGGCCTGCCTAAAAAGCAGCAAAACAACATAACACCAGGCTAAACAAGTGTTTCACTGTCCTCTCTAGTTAAACTTTTCGTGTCTTTTGCAGATCTGAATCACTCAATTGCTCAATCATTGTAACCAGCAGAAATAAGAATGGGGCAGGGTTCCCACACATTTTTATCTATACATTTAAAAAAAAAAAAAACACTTTTCCATATCTTTTGCTTAATAAATTTTTACCTCATGTCCATGACTGTATTTATCCATCCATCCATTTTCATCTGCTTATCTGGGGGCAGGTTACAGAGGCAGCTAATTTAGTTTATAATGGGTATGTCTCTATTATGGCAGCCATTCATTATTAAAACACGCATTTGCGGAAAGCAACCTTCTAGCGCTTGCTAACTTTACTCACTCATTAGACATTCCCGCTGCCAACTAGCTACATATGACCAAAAGACCAGACCCGTGTAATGGGCACTTCTCACAATGTCGAGGCCTAAGCCCTTTTTGGGGATAGAAAACCAAGGATCCTGTAGACATCAGTCATTGTGTTTAGATTATAATTATTTTATTATATATTATTATAATCTTAAAACAAATGTTTGTTTTATGGACATGTCTAACAATTGCTTTGTGACCTTAGCTGAACCTGAGCATCTGCAATACCTTCATAAATTAAGTTTGATCGCTGTCATGTCCCTTTAGGCTTCCCCATTCCAAGTACATCAATGATCCAACACAGTGGTTGGATATTGCATCTACCCCATTGGTGATGACGTGATGCCGCTCTGCTCTATGTGCATCATGTGACACTAGTGACGTTTAAGTGGTCACCAAGCGCAGCAGTCAATCAATCAATTTTATTTATAAAGCCCAATATCACAAATCACAATTTGCCTCACAGGGCTTTACAGCATACGACATCCCTCTGTCCTTTGGACCCTCACAGCGGATAAGGAAAAACTCCCCCCCAAAAAAAACCTTTAACGGGGGGGAAAAAACGGTAGAAACCTCAGGAAGAGCAACTGAGGAGGGATCACTCTTCCAGGACAGACAGACGTGCAATAGATGTCGTACAGAACAGATCAGATCAGATCAGCAGTCAGGGAAGGTACTTAGTGTAACATTAGACATGTTTTGGGATTTTTATAAAAAATATTTCAAACAGTCAAACAGTGTGCATTCGAAACATTTCCAACCAGTGTTTCTAATTTCATAACTTTTCATGACTGTGGGAACCCTGATTGAGAATTCTCACACAGAAGATTATCACTTACAGCACTCACAGCACTTTCCAGCACCCAGTCTTAAAGGTTTAATTGTGAGTGAGTGCATTGTGTCTTATTTTAACCCTGATTAAGAAAAATCTTGCTTCATAGCTAGCTGGCTTCATTTACATGAAAAGTAACAACAGAAAAATGGCGACAAGCATGAAAGAGACTGACTGCAAGCAACCCTTAAATGTTTATAATTTTAATGTTCTATATTTCTTTGATCAGTGTGAAAAATGTAAGTTACTTGCTCCAAGATACATCGCCAGCTGCTGTGTGGTTACAGCTAAACAAAATAACCCTTTCCAAAATCACCTCACATAAACATGTCAGGCTGAATGAATCAAGCAAAATGGCAATGTTATGTAGCACCTGTTTCAGCAGACAAGAATTTTAGCTGTATAAAACCACAGAATACATTCAGTGACAAAAAATTTTTAAATTCTTGCTTACCACAATATCTGCACATGGTAACTACAGCATGACTTAAGGTTTACGTTTGTTGCAGGTCTGTGAAGTCCGACATGCCACACTCCTATTCACCACCCCGACATTCACACCCTTACTTTCCTCTTCGCTACTTAAACACTTACACGTTAGCACTGAACATAAATCTAAGGTGCTGAATTTCCAACATGGACATAATTCCTACCCAACCAACATTTGTATGTGGGACCAATGTGGGTAGTAAATGGGCTGAAAAAGTGCCTCTATATGGGATTGTCCACAAGTTCCATATTGACCCTAGGCCAATTGCCCACATGGGTGGGTTTACCCAAGTGGGCTCCACATGGATTATGCTAGGGCTACCTGGGTACTAAGTGGATATGGGTCCAAAATGGGCACCCTCCCTGGGACTCACTTAGATTAACCAACTCATGTGGGCTACTGGCATAGGGCCAATGTGGAACTTGTGTACAATCCCATACAGGGCCCATTTTTCAGCCCATTTACTACCCACATGGGCCCCACATACTGACACTGTGCTAATGAATATGAGTGTTCACCATTTCAGGTTATATTTTGCTTTCTACAGTACCTATTACCATTTAACAAATAATATGACATACTTAATCAAATAACCTAACCTGTTATTGCCAAACAGTAAACCTGTGGCACCTGCGTGTCTGGGCCTTGGGGTAGGCATCTGAATGAAGGTCAGTGAAGAAAGGCCCACAGGAAGTTGTTGTAGCAGATCCTCCCTGTGGTGTCAGCATCAAAATAAGAGCTGAGGTGGAAGAACTCCTCCTCTGACAGTTTGATGCTGAAATGGCGCAGCACCTGCAGGGCAACAACAGCAGGAGTTGGAGTGTGTGCATATTTGTGTGTGTCACAGTGTATTAGGTTGGGGTTTAGAAGATGTCATTCCTAACCAGGTTGCTAATTGTTTCTATCGATTAGCTCGGGGAGCGTTGTCGTCATTAAATTGTACAGCAGGTAAATGGCAGGGACAATAAAAGTGGAGTGTCAGCTGCTGTTCTCTGGGGCCAAAATGTCAGTGTGGTCTTGTTTCAACCTTGGGTTTAATTGAACAATTAAAATTACTGATTGGCTGTCAAGTGAACAGGTGTGTGTGTGTGTGTGTGTGTGTGTGTGTGTGTGTGTGTGTGCGCGCGCGCGTGTGCTTGCAAGCTTGAGCTTCATGGATTTCCAGTCACTCTCCATCATTCTCCTTCAGACATTTTGATAGAAGACACAAGCGGAGCTCAAATGGTGGCATCAATAATTCATAAAGAACCAGTTTATCTCAGAGTGTTTGACACTGAGCAGGTGGCGCTCTGCAGGGTGAAGCGCTGCAAGATGACCTCACCTTCCTGAAGTCCTGCACAGAGACACTTCCTGCGCGGGTGCGGTCAGATGTCAGGAAGCAGCGTCTGATAGAGGTCCAGGAGGAGCAGACCACATCATGGATCCTCAGCATGACCTCCACGCAGTCTCGGCTCAGAACACCCTGGCTCGTCTGAACCGGACCAG